AGGCTGCCGTGCGGCTCAGGCTGGACGGCCGTGCTCTTCGTCTTGGACGTGTGGGAGGGAACGCCGGGGAAGCCCGGAGGATGCCGGCCCAGGGGACCCCGCGAGCCGGGCTGGCTGATGCCCGAGACTGGGGTCCTTGCGGGAGGCCCCCTCCCCGCTCTGCTCTGACCATCGCAGAGGCGCGGTTGGACTCGCTTTGCCTTATTTCCTGCTTTGGCTGACAGGGCCCGAGCCTGATCATTAACCAGCCCGACGAGCTGCTTGACGGCATGTCAGAATGGTGCAAAGAGCATCACGGGAGGGTAAGTCCTCCAATTCCTTGGCAGTTTGTGCCCGAGTAAGAAAAAGGTTTCCTTCACCTGTTCAGTTTCACCATCCCTCCTCCTTGGGTGTCCTTCTGCCCCTCCTAAGGGAGGAGGGAGCCTTTGCCTTGAGGGCCGGCTCAGTGGCTTTGAGCACAGAGGTGGGCAACCCGGCGGGGCCTCCCTGACCTTGGGGCTACCGCCGCAGTTAGCCGAACCAGCGCCGGGGGGAGTGGCCCGTACCTGCAGACCCTGATTCTTGGATCAAAATGTTTCCTCCGTCGTCTCGTTCTTTATTAGAGGAACTATAATAGGAGCTCACGTATGTGAAGGCAGTTGAGGGGAGCCCTGCTTTGGGCCCCCGGCCATGGGGACTACAGAGGCAGATACGGCTCTGGGCCCTTCGTTGAGGAGCATCAGCAAGGGGGTGGTTGCTCCCTGGGAAGTGCTTTTCTCCAGCGGGATTTCTCTAAGATCTTCTGTGCATCTGCAACTTTCTCAGGAGAGTTGTGGGCTCTGTCGGCCTTCTTTGACTGGCTCCCCTGGAGGTGGGGGGGGGTCTCGGATCAGTTTATCTTCCTAGGGCCAGATCCTCCAGATGCTCTTAAATAATGCCGCCCGCTTAGCCCTTCTTAGGCGCCTTCTGTCGTCTTTGGGGATGCCTTTGTTTCCCAGCCCCCCCTCCTCCCCACACAGGCCTTGCTTTGTTGCCCCGGTTCCCCTTTCCCCCGCCCCCTTGGGCAACAGCACTCAGAAATTGGTACCTTGACGAACTGTTGGGCCTGAGATCGAGATCCGGCTTCACGGGTGCCCGAGTTACTCTCTTGGCGCACAAGCAACATCCCCTGTGTGATTTCTTTTCTTGCAGTCCGGTCTTACTAAGGCAGTAAAAGAGAGCACAATTTCCCTGCGCCAAGCGGAATATGAGTTCCTGTCTTTCATCCGACAACAGACTCCGCCAGGGCTCTGCCCTCTTGCAGGTTGGAGGTGTTTCTTTCATTCATCTAAACAATCTGTCCTCCATCTCGCTTCGATGGGTGTGGGAGGCTGCTAACAGTTAAAATGCAAATGGTCTCCAAAAGCCAATAGATTAGCAATCGGTTAAGTTAATCAGTTACAACCCAGGTAAGCAGGAGTAATTTGAGAAATGTTAACAGACCATGCAGCCTGTGGTCCTCTTGATTTTCCCTTCCATCACCCCCAGCCCAGCTGGCCATCCCATATTCTCTGAGGGTGGTAGAATTGCAGTTTTTTCACCCTTTCTGAGAAAAGACAGATGAGCAGAACCACCAAGGCCTCTTTTTTTCAGAAGTTCTCTTCCCCTGCATTCAAAAGCAGGGTGAATGAAAGCTTTACACGTGTGAATCTGCCGGAGAATTAGTCCCCAAATTCTTCTGGTGAGTTCACAAACAAATATTTTTCTTTAGCCAGAAGCTCCTAAGATTTAGCCCCCAGCGTTTTACTTGTGTTTATTACAATTATTTATATCCTGCCCATTCAGATTTGAGCCCTGTTGAAGCCCATTATCTCCACCTAGTAGGGTTAGGTTGAGGCTCTGCCTGAGATGAAGGGGATCTTCAACTCTTGGGACAAGATAGCTCCTTATCTTAAAGAGAAATCAAAGCCCTGGGAGAGGAAAAGGACATTCCTGTTCTATTTTCCTGCCACCTGGTAGCTACAGACTTCCTTTGAACGTTTTACTAAACCCACGAATCCCTGTGTAGGATACTGTGGCCGTGCAGTAAACCCTTGGTTTAATGGTGGTTGGCTTAATGGCCTTCAGAATTAATGGAGAAAATCCCTGGAAGAGAGTTACATCGTGCTGGGACGTGGGCATTGGCAGTTGGAGGTGGGGCGCACTGGGAAGATGGGGGCAGGGGGAGGCAGGCCGATGGAGTGGCCAGGCAGGGAGCTGCGGAGGGGAGAGGGGGCAACAAGGAGTAGCTTTGCTCTAACTTGTTGCTTTGGTATTCAGGAAAACCCTCCATTTAATGGACGTTTGGCTTTAAAGGACATTTAGTCTGTTAAATCAGGGATTGGCTGTATTTGGTAGGGCTGGAATGCTGACCTTAACATTTTTCTCCCTCTACCTGCCAAGAAGCCTGTTTTGACTCAGTGTTTCTGCCTCTTCTGTAGGGAACTCTGTTCATGCGGACAAGAAGTTTCTCGACAAGTACATGCCGCAGTTCATGAAGCATCTGCACTATCGGATCATTGACGTCAGCACGGTGAAAGAACTCTGCAGGTGCATGGCCGCCCAGCCTTGGACTAGGGCGCCCTTCTTCAAGCTGGTGGCCTCCAGAGATGCTGGGCCTGCCACTCCGACGTTCCCAGCTGGAGAGCTCCAGCTTGTGGAAAGACAGAAGGGAGGGAAGCGGGAGGCGTGTGTGGCTCGGCGGGGCGGAGACCTCCTTTTAGGAAATTATCCAGCACTTTGGGCAGTACATCAAGATTGTACTGCCTGTAGTCAGAATGAGGTGCAACCTTTGAAAAATTCATGGTTTACGCTTACTTCACTGAAAATGTATTTTTATTTGTCTTACCCTTTTTGAGGAGTTGAGGTTGACAAATAATACACGTTTTGAAGTGAAAGTGTTTTAAAGACTATGATAATGTTTTTGTCAGTAAAGCTGATTACTGCCATAAATATTTGAATCTTACTGTCAGAGCCCCGCCAAGCTTCTGCAGCCCATTCTCTGGGGTTGCTTCTGCGTTTGAGAGTTGCTTTAGATTTAACAGCGTGGAGGTGCTAATTCCTTCTTTTCATCCAGGCGCTGGTATCCTGAAGACTATGAGATTGCTCCAAAGAAGTCTGCTGCTCATAGGTAAGAGTTACCCTTTGGCTTTCAAGATGGGACCTGTCTGCTCCCAAACATCCAGGATTTCACTGCTGCTGCTTCTGCACAACGTAACTTAAGCAGGCAGATCAGGGGCGGCTTGTACAGTTACCTTGAGCGCATCCTTAGCATCTGGTGAAGGGCGGGTGGTCTGCAATCAGTGACGGTCTCCTCCTCCAGCAAAGGCCTTCAGCGGTGGTGGGTTTTCACCTTCCAGAATTCCCAGCTGATAGGAATAGTTTCAGCCCCTCCACAGGCAACAGACTGGGGGAAGGCTTGGTGATGCCCTCAATCACCTCCCCTTCTCCAGGCTGCTGACCTCCCAGAATTTACAGCCAGCAGGAGCGAGTTGGTAAGGCTGCAGCTGAGCTAATGTGGCCCTTCTGCCTTGGCAGTTTGCATGGAACCGTTTGAAAAGTTGCTACAGTACTGTGAGATTTAAGTTGGTGTCTCCTCTGAGCTGACCTGATCTGCATCGCTGGGCGTAACAGAGAGGATGAAACTGACTCCCCCTGCCCCCGGCATCATGGTTCCTGGGCGTTCTAGCAGAGGGCTTTGCTTGGAAAACCGATCAAATGGCTTTGAGACAAAATTTGGTTAGAAGTGGGCATGGTGGGGGCATTTTAAAAAGCAAGCTCAGCTTGAAATTTTGTGTGAATTTTGAAGAAGTCATGTACATCTGGAATTGGTAGAAATGGGCTACCGTATTTTTCCGACTATAAGACGATACTTTTTTCTAAAATCCTTACCCTAAAAATTGAAGGGCGACAAAGAAGTCAGCCGAGGAGAGAACCGCGCGGTTGCAAAACTGCCCATACTTTGTCTCTGCAAACAGGCTTCCTTGTACATCTGGAATTGGTAGAAATGGGCTACCGTATTTTTCCGACTATAAGACGATACTTTTTTCTAAAATCCTTACCCTAAAAATTGAAGGGCGACAAAGAAGTCAGCCGAGGAGAGAACCGCGCGGTTGCAAAACTGCCCATACTTTGTCTCTGCAAACAGGCTTCCTCCTATTGCTAGCCTCCAGTCACGAGAGAAATAGCTTTACTCTGCAAACGGACTTCCCCCAGTCACGAGCCGGATGTAACTGACGTCAGCTGATGCTGAACAAGCCAATTGGAGGAAGGCTGCTTGCAGAGACCAGCTATCTATCGGCAGTTTCGCTCGTGCTTGAATGGAATCAGTTATGCAAAAGAGCCTGGAAACAGAGCTGCAGAGAGACGGTTTGGACCTCCTCCC